CAAAAACGGTGGTTGTCCTTTGTTTTTCCTTTAAACTTTGAGCCAACCCAAAACAGGGGTTCCCCCAGAAAAGACACCCCATATTTCTATGTAAGGCAGGGGAAGGATTTTGGCTGCCACTGGGCAGAGTTCAACCACGTTGCCGGCCTCACATCAGGGCAAGGCCTTCGACCTCCGCCATGCGATCCTGCTCCCGCAAGACCTGGCGCATGTCAAAAGTTCAGTCGCGTCATAAACACCTACTGCACCTAGTGGGCGGGATGGTCCCTTGCTAGCCTTCCTTGACTCTGAGTTGACTGGCCAAGCAAGTCGAAACCTTTACTGGCATTGAGTAGACTTCTGAAGCAAGTTTAAGCTTGGTGACAGAGTTTCGCTCCCACTAGAAGTCCAGGGTTTCCATGGGGAGGCATCCCAATGGTTTTCCCTGAATAGCCACCAACAAGGCCCCTAGTTGGAGACACACGCGAATCCTCGCGTCCAAAATAATCGGCAGAATTCAAGCAGGAGAAAGCCTCTTGACAAGACCTCCGCCAAAAGGGTAGGTTGCTTCGGATTCTCTTCAAGCCCCCCCAAAAAGAATGCCCTCAAAGATCCCTCCCAAATGTGTTTGCACAAGCGTTGCACCTGGCATCCCTTTGCCAAATTTGAAGAGATCATGCCATGGACCGATGCAACACTTCCACCAGGTACGCCTTTCCGGGATGGTTCCCATGCCACCTCTACAAGAACCAGTTCAAATTCCTACCAATCCAAACCACCAAAGGTTGGTACCTGAATGATCCATGGGAAATAATTTGTTATTTTGCTTGTAATTCACCTGAAATTGGTCACCGAAAACATGATAACAACAAGTGGGACGGTCGTTGCAACAAAAGCAGCAACATTCATCTGACAGAAATGCCAATGTGGAGGTTCGGGACACATGTTGCATTATCGGAAATTGATGTAGGAGTCGGAGGCACATTGCCATGCTGGCTTGTATCCAGATCATCCACTTTCTGTGATTGAAGCTGCATACAAGAACTCAGTCATTTTGTGAAGGTCAACTCCTTTGGTCAATGCCCAGCCCCAAACCTAGCATTTGGATCTTGCTCTAAAACCTTTGCTGTATAGAAGTAAATATATTGTTTAATAAGATGTTTCCAATCATGTGCCCAGAATTCAGTTTCCCAGTTGTGACAAAAGTTTAGGGGCCGGCCCAATAGCGGATTCCAAACATAGCTTGGCGCGGGCCAGCGCCAAGCTCGGGACCCTCATCCTTGGCAACGTTTCAGCCAGTGATGTCTCCAAATGGGGCTGTCGTTTTGAGGGTACCCCCTTTTTTGTGGTTCAGGGAAACCAACAGGAAAACCACCTTTTTGGGCCCCCCCTAAAACAACATGCCCAAATGGTTCCCGGCTTCCCACGTCCAGGCCCCGAAAACATGGTACGCTGACAGACTCAGTATTTGATTGACCCAAAGGTAGATTGGGAAGTGCAACCGGCTTTAAGAGGCTTCTCAACAAGTGGAATGCATGACAAGCTCCAGTGGCCATGGAACATGCAGCTGACGCATTCTTAGGGGCTTTGGAAGTATGAATGCTTACAATCTTGTATATACCCCTTGTATAAGTGAGCTACAGCCTCCATACCTCCAACACCCATACCAGAAAAAGCCCTGAAACAAAGGATATGAGGAGCCCAGGTCTGGGATGATACAGTGTTCATTGTATTCGGTATCGAGTATCACTCAATCCGATCAGAAGCTCAGGCGCGGCGACGGGACGTCGATGATACCCATTTGCAGGTTCCAAAATGACACAGGCTCCCCCCAAGTAGACAGCTGGGGTCATTATGTTGACTGTTTCTCGGGGTGATCAAAGTCAGACAATGGGGGTGTTTCCCTTCAACCTACTGGCTTTGATAATGCTAAAAATCATGGGGCCAGGACAAGGCAAATTTGCTCGGTCATCATTTCTTTTCGTCCCCAAATGGGCAAAGAGATCTTGACCGAACCTGTGACTCTCCCCCATGGCCCGTGCAAAGGGCTATGCTTGCTTAGATTCAAAGGAAAACCTTGGAGCTCCCCGTTCGCAAGCCAAATGGGGAGCTCCTAAGTTTGGGTTTGTTTTGCAAAGGGTTCCCTTGGTTCATTCACTTTAACGAGCTGAGTCACTTAAAAATCAGAACTCCCTTGTTTCACTCTGGTTCATCACCGGTTCATTCCTTTTGCTTCAATGGATCACTCTCTCATATGGGTATGAATTTAAATGGGCACCATTTGATATCATTTAGGTGCACATTGTGTCCACCACTTTTCAGGGGGTTCCCTAAAATTGACACCCATACAGGACACCCACGCAACGAATGGTTCACTCTGGTTCATCACCGGTTCATTTCTTTTCAACTGAATCCTGGGTTGCACCAAGGGCACCCCGCCTCCGCCGCCTGGTCCCGGGACACCGCATCGATGCGGCTCGCCCTGGGTACAGTTTCCGAGGGAGAAAAAGGGCAAAAACACATTTGTTTGCGTATTTCCACTTCGGGGCGGCATCTTTGAGAGGCTCCGAGCAAGCCCATATTAAGATCTTTGAGCTGGTTTTGAATGGGGCTGAGATTTGATTGGGTGGACATCATTTACAGGGAATCCCACTCTGTGCTTAATTAAATGGAAACCAGGACCCAAAGCACTGAGACTTTTCAATCCCCCATTTGCTGCACGTGGAAAAACTGACCCATGCGATATTCCATGGTCCATTCCCATCCCTACTGTGCAACGACACTTACGGGATTCTTGGCATCACAGAAAGTGGTTGGTTGGCCCTGAAACAATTTCTACATGTGCATCATTTCCGCTGCAGTTGTCTGAACTTCAAGTGACGGGCAAAACTTACCCTGCAAAATGACATGGAACCCAGAAGGCGGGTCGCACGAAAAGGAGACCCCTACTGCAAGATTTGGGGCTCCATATTAACCTGCAGGTAGAATATAATGTCGACCCCGAATTGATCAGGGGTGGTTCCCTAAAGACATGGCCATTTTCGCGGGGGGCGGGGAGGTCCTCTGATGACTAATTGCGGTCCTCCGGCTAAATCCGAGGTGGACGTTCTAAGTCTACTTAAGCCAAAATCAGGAACAGGAAAACACCGGTTTTTGACTGAAACTGGACTACACCTTTGGGGTCGATTTGACGGGAACACCAAACAACTAAAAGTCCAGCCTTGGATGCCAAAATTAGCAAAGCCAAAGCCGGACTCAAAATGTCGGGGTGAGAAAGCCATCAGTGACTCGATGTATCATGCTGTTGGGTGTGTGGTGCTTCGGCTGCTTTGAGCAGGCAGATGTAAGTCCGTTTGCATGTCGCCATGAGTGCCACAATCAAAACCGGGGTGGATGAAGGTTGGTAAGGGATAGTCCCAACCATAAATGGGTGCAGCCGCCTTTTCAATTCTTACATGGTTCTGGGTAGACCATGTTATCCAGGTTTTGATTGTGCCTCACATGTCATGGTTTTTTGCACGACACGTTGTTCGGAATTTGGTCCGCCTGCTTGTATAAGTTCAATCCATCGAGCGAGTCTCATGCGGAGGTTTGTCGAGGTAGAGGCTTGTTTGGGGACCTGGTTGCATGTGTCGCGTTCCAAGGGTCTCCGAAACACAGCCAGGCTGTCAACCCCTTCCCCGGAAGCAGCACGCAACTCTTGGGTGACTCAGCTCCTTGGCTTTGCACACCTTAGAAACAGATGTGTGCCGCTGAGAAACGGCTCCAATGCTTTTCTCGCGTTCAACGACGCGCTTTTGCACAAATCCCTTCTCCCGGTTGCATAGAGGAAGATTTGCCTGTTCAAACAGAACACACACACACACAAAGAAACAAATGACACAACATCAAACAAGCAAAACAGCATCGGGCGGCAGCGCCTGTTTTGCTGGTAGACGCGGTAGCACTGGTCAGCCTAGCCAAGCTGAAAACTGAGAATGCGCCGCAGCGCAGGGGTCTGGCTTGTGTTCGCCCCCAAACACGTGACCAGTCACCACAATTTTGCTTCGACCGTGATGTCTGGAAAACGGGCAGGGTCCAAGATCCTCCAAACGGGACATCTTTGGATTGCAAAAGGGAAAGCAAGAGTCCAAAACGGCCACTCGCAGAGGCCCCGATCTGGAGACCAAGAAAAAGATCGTGCACCGAGCAGCGCAAGTGCGCTCCATCGGCCTTGGATAATTCAAGCGCTCCTTAAGCATGGGCTGCACCTGCCTCTTGGTGCATCCCTTATTGCGCTGACTTGTTTGTCGAACTTGCCTTTGGACTCTACTGAACATCTAAGGGCGGATATCCTGTGCTCAGAGGAAAGACAAGCCGAAGCTCTGTTCCTATGTTGAGACCAAATTCTGCGTGTCCGTTTCTTCGATCACAGGAGGCAGACAATGACGTACGGTCAGATTCTGAAACCTCAACCATTTTCTAACATTGTATTTTATGATTTATAATCTGCATACCCACAGGGGTACGCAGGGGTATACAGTTACAAATGGGTACACAAAAACATGTTTTCCGCAAAAAAAAACAGGCTTCATGTCTCGAGCTTGAAGATCCCAGTCGGCCATCCCCCGTCCTTCTCCAGGGTCTCGGGACGAAAAGTCGTGAGAACCATCTGGGAGGTCCTGCCGGATATCTCGAGATCCAACGAAACGGGCGAAACAGCAATTTTTCCAGGTGCAGCACCAACGAGATAGGGGTGCAATAGATTGGGGGCAAGACTAAAAACTGTATGTAGATGGGCAAAACTCACAAAACACACCAATTGGCATGGACAAAACCCTGTGGGTAGGGGGGCGTTAAAACATCTACCTGGTGCAGGACTCTAGTGGGATTGATTCCCAATTCTCTTCACCCATCATCCCATCGTTCGACAGACTTTGCCAGAAGTTTGCCCCATTGTTTGAGGAGAAGGATCCCTGAGAATGGGAGAAGGACTTTGCCCATCCACAGTCCTTGAGAAAGATAAACTAAAATCAAACCCATTCTAGGTACTGGCCAAGGAGGTGCAAAGTTTACTCCGAGGAAATCCGGGGATCCAGTCAACACATCATGGGAAAAATCGCTTTTGCCCCCAAGTAAACCATGCTGGCAGCACTGAATATTTCAAACTCTCACTTGCACAACTACCCCAAACGGGACAATCAGGAAAACAGGAGGTAAATAGTAATAGATACTAGATAAAACATACAGTTCAAGTAGGTGGCCACAGTACGGCCTTACTATAAAGCCCATGAAACAAGGTCGCGAACCACCCATGGTTTTGAGGCACTACTCGACCTGGGCTTGTATAAAACAATCAGATACAAGCTGAATGAACCATTGGCGCATCGTTGTGCTTTTGCTCCTCATTTTGCCGGGAATAATGGTGCATTGGTCCAAAAGGGACCGGCCCAACACTAAAGTCCTGTTCCCCCAATATCGATACAATCCCACTCGGAGGGGTTCAAAATCAGAACCATATTTGTTTCTCCTTTTTCAGGCGGCAGGCAATAAGGGTTCAGAAAGGAACCGACCATCTTTTTGACACTTAGGGCTTCTCACAACCGTGAACACCCCCTTGTGGTGGTTCAATGGAAACTAAAAGGGACACCCCAACTATTTTAGAGGACCAATTCCTACTTAGAGAAACCCGGGGAAGGAAAGCCGACAGAAACCTCCCTCCTCGTCCCTGAAAAACCAGGACACGCCATTCGGCCTCCTTTTGGAAAAGGGAGCTGTTTTAGCAAACGGGGGCTGATCAATATTCCTGGCCCCCAAATGACCCTGGGAAACGTTTCTCATTTAGTGGACAATATTATGTTTTTAGTGGTTTCCCCAATGGTCATCCTATTTAAAGGACCCTTTGATCAACCCCCAAATGAGGGCCGGATGGTCTCCTCGCGGTTTTGGCCACCAGATTGGCCAGTGCGCTGCGGTAGGATGCATCCAGGGCTGCATCCACCTCGTCCAAGAGGTAGAAGGGCGCAGGCCTCAGATCTCTGGATGTCCATGCGTAGACTCAATCCGACTTCTAAACCTGAACCCCAAACCTTGGCCCACAGGAAACAGAACATCTTGTTTTCTCTGCTTCATCTTTATGTTCTGTCAATATAGCTGGGGAGACCCAAAACTCGCAAACTTGTGGAATTGTTGATTCAAGGGCATGAGTTTGCCGCTTCCCAGCGGAATCTACAAGTGCATTTGGGTGTGTGTTAAAGAGGCCGAAACAAAGGCTGGTGCTCCCTTTGGTAAACCAATTCACACTCATATTTAGTTGGTCAAAACCAGTGCCCACCCACGGGCTTGCAACTATTTGATTATATTTTGCAGGAGTGGCAAGGCTCTTCTCAATTTCTTGTAGCAAACCCAACCCCAGTGGTGTTCAATACAGAATTCAGCAAAGTCAAACAAAAATGGGTCTGGTTGTGCAAACAGGAGGCCAGTGTTTGACCGTTTTCAACGCCAGCCTCTTGGGTTATTTGGTAAAGTCTGGAAAGGGCAAACCAACACTAGAATAAGATCCTTCAGCGTGGTGAGCTCGGTTTAACCACAGGTGATCTCGCCCTAAAATATAAAACAACCTCACACGTAGGGCAAAACACTCGCGTCCTGTAAATAATGATGGGACACTGGCATCATCATTGCCCACATTCAGTGTCACGACTAAGACTAGAACAGCAACCTTTGCTTCAACACATCCACACAAGTTTCAACACCCTAAGGATCCTGATAGATGGCTCTTTTGAGCTGGGTCCTCCATACTTTTGACCCATGATTGACCACCCGCAAGTTGGTTGATAGGGGAGTGTCCCAGCTTAGGGTTCTTCACTTTTTTGCGGGAACACCCCGTAATCATTCACTAGGTTGCTGCCTATGCAGAGCTTACAATAATTTTACCTCCCTGATATGGGTGCGTCCATTTGTAAGGGGATCCCAGAATGGTGGCTCTTTCTTTGGTTTCCCTCTAAAGCCATCCAACAAAGGGGTCCCCCATTCTGAGCCGGCCCATGTCAGAATTGGATCCCCAAGTTTACAGGACCTTCGAACGACGAATCGGTGAAGGCAACGGATCGGTCGACAGATTCGAAGCCCGGTTGGGCCGCATGCTCCAACCGCTGGATGGCGAAGATGAGGCTCAGGGCAACCACCTATCGGAAGCGGCTGCGAAACAATCCCTTCCATTTTGGGCATGCTTGAGGGTGTCTACATATGTCCTTTCTACATTTTGTGACCCTGTTGCCCGGTTGCAGGTGACCGGAGAATATGACAGTCAAGCAGGAAAGGACTGGCTTCCAAAAGCAAAGGCCCGGGAAGTGAAGCGCAGGCATCGATGCCTTGACAAAAAAACGGCTGAAGTGGTAGGAAACGGGAATCACTTCTCCCTTTTTGGTTGGTGGAGCCACAACCCTGAGCAATATACAGTAGGTGCCAACGATATTTACAACCAAGCACGCCACCAATTAACAGGAAGGTTCCCAAAGGAATTCCAACCACCAACAACTCTACATCACCGGCCAAAGAAGCGACCACCATCAGATTACCGTCAAAACGAATCCTTGCCTTGAGTCACAAACAAGACCTGGTATTGAAAAAGGCCGACCCAACCCCGACAGCGAAAAACAACAACATAGAAACCTGAGGGAAGTGCAGGAAACGGGCCAACCACCCACCCAAACCAATTGGATTTCCTGTAGGATTTCTTCTATTCCGCATCTTTCGTTGAAAGGTGGCAGACTTGCGCACCGCTCGCTTCTGTCTATGGTGCTGGGGCAGCGAGCTGTCTTCTGGCCCCCAGACAGCTGGTTCATGGCCAGGAAGGACTGAACTTGGCCCGTGAAGGACACCTCCGCTTCAGAACGAAATCCGCTCCCAGAGGTTGACCCGGAACCAGGGGTTCAAATTCCCAAGCCACAGCCACGAATCAAGGCAAACCTCCAAAAATCGATGCATTCACACAGGCTTGCCTGGAGCCCAAACAGCTTAATACCGGAAGCACGCGAAGGGGTCTTCATCTAAAGGCAGCTGAAGACTTCTCCTGCCAACGTCTAAGAAGTCTCCTGCCAACTTTTAGGGTGCTAGTTCACGATCCTAAAAAAGCACAAGCTCACCATCCTCCATCCTAAAGCACAATCTAGCTTGTTTTTCCGCCTGCTCTTCTTGTCGAATCGAAGTTCTTCGTTTTCTGAGCTGGGTACGCGATGAGCTATCGAAATGGACCCCTCTGCGGAGATTGCGGTGTCAAGTCTTGATCTAGTCGAACCCTATGCGGAGATCAGGCGGGTCGCAGCCCTCTCGATGTGACCGCGCGAATCGTGTTGGTCTCCGCGAACTCTTTGCGTGCATCGGGGTTGATCGATGCGCTCTCGCCGTAGCGCCGTGCGATTTTTCTTGACCTTGATGCAGGGATCATGCATGTCGAAGCGCTCTCGCTGCAATTTTGCAAAGTGCGGGATGAACTGTGTCGAAGTGCTCTCACAGTGGCGCCTTGAGAAATTGCAAAGAAGCTCTGGCTTAAAAATCGCAACTTGCAAGTACAAAAGTAGCAAGCCAAGTGCGCTTTTCCAGGTGCGCCCAAAAACTCGTAATGTTTCAGTACACAAGTAGTACACGAAGTGTGTTTCTCCAGCTATGTCTCGAAAAATCGCAACTTTTAAGTGCGAAAGTAGAAAGCGAACGCGCTTCCGCAGCTGGAGATTGGAAACTGCAGCTTTTTAGCACGAAAGCAGTATGCGACGTATGCCTTTGCAGCTGAAGCTTGAATATCAATCCTGGAAATCGCAGCCAGTTTTTAGTTACAACAGCAGTGCTCGAAGTGCACCACATAGCTTCAGCTCGCAAATCGCTATGTTTCAGTACACAAGTAGGATGTGAAATGCGCTCTGCCAGCTCCTTCTCGAACACGGCAACTTTGGAGTATACAAGTAACAATGCACGTAAATAGCCAATCACGCAATCTCTAACTAGATGTGCAGTAACCGGCCAATTCATGTCACTAAAAACTACATCTGCATTGTAAGCAAAGGCGCAATGAACGTGTTTCATGTGTTTCTATGCTTCCGGGCCGCCCGTCTGTTTGACTCTTGTGGAGAACCCCCTTTCCGGCATGGAAATCTGAGTACGTGCTCAGGGAAGTGGCCAGCTCCCCAAAAAGGGCGTCTTCCAGAGGGTACAGGTAGCTTTTCATATGAGAGACGGTCAAGAAAACAGGCCTTTTCCGATCCATTGCCAGAGCCTCTATCACCCCCCTGATGAAGCAATGAAGCACCTTTGGGGGGGGGGGGAATTCCTCGTGCAGGAGGGGGATTCCTCCAAAAGTAGAGGCCCTCTGTCTATGAGACAACACCCCCCCCCATGAATCAACAAGTTTGCCAAAACCGGCGCACCAACTGATCCCTTTCATTTGCAAATTGTGGATGATGGGACAAAGGGCACCCCTTTCTTGATTGAAATAGAGAAACTCCAAAGAAAACAGAGGGCGCCATTGGGCAAAATGGATTGTGGATGGTTTCCAAGGTTGCTCTAGTGCGCCTGGAATTCCAAATGTCACATCAACAATTGGTCAAGATGAACGCTATGAAACATCGCCCCAAGTTTGAATCCAAAGCTGAGCATCCTCATTCCGTCAAAGGGTTCCTGGGTATCACAGGCCCTTGAGCCCTTCCCACAAGGAACTGGGCGAAATACCCGTTCACCAACAGAACCCACCAGGTCCTGTTGAAAAGCTGAGTACCGTATCTTAAGAGAACAAGTTCCACTTAAATGGTAATCGTAGGGCTTTGCCCGGTGAAATCGTAGTTTCCAAACCTGGATCTAAGCATAATTGGCTTCTGACCTTGAACAACTTATACCAGGTCCCTCTGATGCTTAAATCCGTCTTTGGGTTCACACGTTCGGGTTCCATTCCTAGCTAGAGGAATCAACCTCTTTCATGCTGGCCAGGCATTTTTCCCACAGTCGTCTCAAGGACCATCGGACCCAAACCAGCGCTCGCACGGTTGCCAGC